GCTGCTGATATAGTGCCTGCCTGCCGATGCAGAAAGCCGCAGGGTTTCTGATGAGCTCTGGGGGAGCACAGGGTCCCCGTCAGTTCCATGAGATGATCTTGGTTGCCAGTGGTACTGAGGGGGTAGGGCCTTGCTGGTATTTCTCTCCTTCTGGCAGGACCCTGGGAACAAGCAGGCAGAGTACAACATGCACCAGCTGCAAGGGAACAAGCAGTATGGTACGGAGAAGTTGGGGACACTCTTCAAGAAAAGCAATGGATAAGCTGGGATCCAGCATGCTCCTTTCACTTATGCTTTGGTGACCTGGCGCCAGAGCAGGGCTCACCTGGACCAACGTCCTTTTCTTGAGGTGGCCACAAGGCAGAGGAACAGGACAAGCACAAAGTTGTGCTTGGCACTGTCCCAGCCTCCAACAGCTTTCAGTACAGAGCTCCAGGCAGCTTGTGTCTGTATTTTAGCTCTGAGGGCATTCCTCTCCCATGAAGTTGCCCAATGTCCTCTCAAGCCCTGTGAGCACTGGGGGTGAGGACCCCTGCACCCATCACAGGAAGCCAGAACCAGCTCCCCGTCTTTCCTTCCAGCAAGGATCCCACGACCTTCATCCAACACCCCAAGGTCTTGTGCTAGGAGGGACAGGGAAGGGTTGGTGCTTCTCCCCGTCTCCCAGGCATTCATTGCTTTCCAGAACCCCCTCCATTGCCTCTGCTCTGGAATGAGGAGCCCTGACGTCTCCACCCTTCCCAGGTGGGAGATGCTCAGGGGTGCACTGGGGATTTATATACGGTCCTGGTGATGTTTTCTGCTCTCTCCTCCCTTCCCTTCCCCTCCAGCCCTGACCCATCTCTGCCTTTCAGACCCTTCAGCCCTCACAGTTCAGTCCTGGGCTCAGCTCCCTGGTGATGGAATTAGGGGAAGGAGCAGAAATGTGGGGTGCATTAGACACATGTGGGTCAGTACTGCCTTGGAGATGGCAGTGTGGGCCAGAGGGGAGAGAAAGCCAGCAGCCATCCTGTGCCCCTCTCTCAGGAGCCAGACCCTGATCTCCTGGAAAGCACTCCACTGCCTTTGGGACGAGGATCATCTCCTACCAGTGTGTGAGAAGATGCTTGCTGAGAATCACAGGGATCCAGTGCTCGGAGACTCACCTGGAAAGGACTGTGAAGTGTCCTACAAAAAACTGGACAGAAAGTAATGAACTAGGGCTCAGGAATCTCTTTCACTGCAGACTGAAATTCAGTCTCTCTCTCCTTTTGGGTGTATCGCTCCCACTTTTCCCCTGCCTGAATGGCAGGCACAGGAAAGCCAGCTTGGGAGCATTTTGAAGGTGATGGTCTTGCATGTTTGCTGAGAGCTTCTGCAAAGGGCTTCTTGCCCTGCTAGAAGGTCCTGCTGCCCTGATTGATGGTCTGCACCTGTATCGCCTCCACAGCACCTGTGCTGCCTGTCTGTGCAAGCCTGTCTTAATGCCATATGCCAGGTCCTTCTCAGCCCAGAGCAGACCAAGAGTGACAGACCCCGTCCGTGGCAGCCCAGCCAGCTGATGAGAGCTGTGGCCCCATGCTGTGCCTTGCGTTGCTCTTGCATTTGCCAGCGCTGTGCTGCATAGCACATCTGCTGCTTTGTGTGTGTGTCCTTTGAGCTCACCCTCTGCTCATTTCCAGGTTGAGAAAAGTCTGGCAGAAGAGGAAATGCACCATCAGCAACGGCTACCTGACCATTTCTCACAGCATGGTAAGAACCACTTCTTCCACTCTGCTCCGCTCCTGCCTGGGAGCTGCTGCCCACCCCTGCAGGGTCTGCAGGGCCTGCTACTGCCAGGCATGCCAGAGGCTTCCTGGCGCTCAGCAGAGCCCTTGTGCCTGCTGCTTGCCCTGCTGGGCTGCCCTAGCATAGGAGGTTTTCTGTTGAGACGTAAATCCCTGCAACCCAAGAGAGCTTTAGACAAACACAGGAGGTCCTTACATGCCTGTGTGCATGGAGGGGCATGAGCCTGGGGACCTGGCTCCAAGCATGGGGTGGCTGTTGGGAAAGAAAAGGTCCGTGTTGCTATTTCTTGCATTGTTCCTGAGTGCGGAGCCAAAGACAAAGTGCTGGGCACAAGGCAGATCCGTGGTTCTGCCTCCAGAGCCAGGAGGTGCTTGTCACCACTGGACCACAGCCCTTTAACACTTCCTCATTCTGCTTGTAGCTCAGCCGCCCACCAGCCAAGCTGAATTTACTGACCTGCCAGGTGAAGCCGAACTTGGATGACAAGAAATGCTTTGATCTGGTTTCCTGTGAGTGCTGGTGCCTGCCCTCCCGGAAGGGCCCGGAGAGGCGGCAGTGCTTTGGGCTCAGAGAGCCAGCATGGGCAGTGATGAGGGGAAGCTCTGCATCTTTGGGCCAGCTTGGGGAGATTACCCTGGGGAAATTGTGCCAGGAGGCAGCTCTGCTCAGGAGCAGTGATGCACATGCAGGGTGTGAGATAGGCAGCACTGCTGTGGGGCAGTGCAGGGTGTGTGAGGACCACGCAAGTGCAGTTCCCAAGCTGCAGCTTATCTAACACCAGCATCCCTCGACAAGAGCAGGTCCCTTTGCCTGGGGTGCACTGGGGAGGTGCTGAGTGAGATGGAGGTGACTGTCACCCCAGTGCTGGAGATTGCTCCCGGCTCTGCTGAGCCCAGCTCAGGTGTGTTGTGCCCTGCTGTGAGCCTGGCAGCTGAGACGGATGAGCAGGGTACCTAGAAACCAGCTCTGTGTGTTTCAGACAACTGCACGTACCGCTTCCTGGCAAAGGATGAGCAGGACTGTGTCGCGTAAGTACTGCCACTGCCTCACTGCAGGCCAAAAAATGCTCCTCAGTCTGCTGATAAGAAGCCAGCTCTTTGGCTAATTGAGCAGCACGCCACAGCCCCTTGTTTGATGCCCATCTCATCCTGACTGTGTCCCGGTCACTCCAGGGGGGGCTGGCCAGCCACAAGCAGGACATGGAGTTTGATGGAGGCTCCTGGCACCCAGTTTGTTGCTGGAGTCCCATGCAGGACCTTTCTGTGTGGTGGCTGCTGTGCAGGCCGGGGCACAGCGGGATCCCCTGCAGTGGGATGAGCCTCGCTGCCCTCCTCACCCTGCAGCCTGAGCATGGCTGCATGGGACCCCACTCCTAAGCTGCTTTCTGCCCATGCAGCTGGGTGTCCGTCCTCAGCAACAGCAAGGAGGAGGCACTGAATGTGGCCTTCAGCAAGGTGCAGGGTGGAGGGGAAAGCAGCCAGGAGGAGCTGACCCGGGCCATCATTGAAGAGGTCAGATACATGCCTGGGAACAGGGAGTGCTGCGACTGCTTGGCCCCAGGTGAGAGCCAGCCCATGGCCGTGGGGCTGCCGTGCTTCCTCCCCCCTGGAGAGGCAGAGCTCTGCCCTGCCCTCTGTGCCATCCAGCTCCTGGAGACTCACAGGCATCTGCGGTCTTGCCCTTCCCCTCTGTCCTGCTGTGGAGCTTGTGCCCTAGGGTGGTGGGAGGCCAGTGGGGACGAGAGGCATGAGATGTGCACAAGCTCGGTGATGTTGTCTCTACAGATCCCACTTGGCTCTCCATTAACCTGGGCATCCTTATCTGCATCAAGTGCTCTGGAATTCACAGAGAGATGGGTGTGCATCTCTCCCGCATTCAGTCATTGTCTCTGGACAAGCTGGCAACCTCTGAATTGCTGGTAGGCTGCTGATGGTGTGCTCTGTTCTCAAGCCTCCCCTGCTTCTGCTGTGGCCTTCCTGAAACTAAGTTAATTCAGTATTTTTTTCACCTGTTAAACTGACCCATACCCACTTGTAATTCCCAGGGTTTAGTGGTTCTTGTGGCAGGAATTGTCATCTTCAAGGAGGAGGGGGGCTCATTTTGCTGTTGCTGGGACACCTGTCTCCCTCAGTCCTCTTTCCCCATCTGCATCCTCTAGGGCAGGGAAGCTGTGGGGCAGTGCCAAGCTTGAACTGGGGCAGAGCAAAGTGTAGGGCAGGCAGGGGGCTGGAGACCTTGCATAGGGCTGTTTTAGGGCCATGATCCTCTAGGTGCTCATGGGTTTGGTAAGGCTGTGATGAGAGGCATCTGGTGGGCATCAGGGCAGGGGATGGGAGTGTTTGGCAGGGATCATTGCTTGCTGAGCCCAGGGGTCAGCTCTGGGGTTGGTTGCACTGCTGGAGTTGGGAGATCTCAGCAGCAGGAGTCAGGGCAAAGTCTGAATCTCCAGCCATTGGGCACACACATCTTGGCACCCCTTGACATCTCCTTGATACCTGGTCACGATCTCAGCCTGGAGCTCCCTCTCCTGCTGCAATGCATGTAGAACTGCTCCATGTCCCATGTCACCTCTAGCTTTGCTGTTTTGCAGCTGGCAAGAAATATCAGCAACTCTGGCTTCAATGACATCATGGAAGCAAACCTTCCCAGCTTTTCGCTGAAGCCCACAGTTCACAGTGACATGTAAGTTGCTCTGCAAGAGCTGTTTTTTGTGGGAGGTTAGATACAAGGCCCTCACCTGTGGGCACATGTTCTGTGGTCCTGTGTGCTCCCTGCGGCAGCCAGGCACATGGCGCTGCCTGATCTCCTTCCCAGATCGTAGCTTCTCTTTAGAAGCAATTTCATCAAGTCCAGCAGGAAAGGTTTCATAAACGAGAGAAGAGTGAGGAAGAGCCAGCAGGACACCTCAAGGATTGGCCTTGAAGTCAGGAGAGGGATTGAGGAACCAGTGCTGGAAAGGGAAAGGCAAGAGAAATGAGCGGAGCTGCTAAGAAGGACAGTCCTGGCTGCACATCAGCAGGGCAGGGCAGGGAGGGGTGGGAAGGTAGAGTGGGATGAGGGACAGGGACTTGCGTGGTGCAGAGCAGTTCATTGTGTCCAGTGGCTGGGTACCAGGGTCTGTGAGATCAGCGTGAGCATCAGGCAAGGATCTCACTGAGCCCAGGACTGAACTGTGAGGGCTGAAGGGTCTGAAAGGCAGAGATGGGTCAGGGCTGGAGGGGAAGGGAAGGGAGGAGAGAGCAGAAAACATCACCAGGACCGTATATAAATCCCCAGTGCACCCCTGAGCATCTCCCACCTGGGAAGGGTGGAGACGTCAGGGCTCCTCATTCCAGAGCAGAGGCAATGGAGGGGGTTCTGGAAAGCAATGAATGCCTGGGAGACGGGGAGAAGCACCAACCCTTCCCTGTCCCTCCTAGCACAAGACCTTGGGGTGTTGGATGAAGGTCGTGGGATCCTTGCTGGAAGGAAAGACGGGGAGCTGGTTCTGGCTTCCTGTGGTGGGTGCAGGGGTCCTCACCCCCAGCCATGGCAGTGGGGATCACACTTTAAATGCATGGAAGTCAAGTTCTTGTTTAATTATGTAACTGCAGGAGAGGAAGCTTCAAGAAAACCACAGTGTTTTGAAGGATTGTTATGAATGGGACAGAGGGGAATGGGACAGACAGAGTGGAAAGGTGCTAAACTGCCTGACAGGTCTGAAGGATAGAAAAGGAAGGTGGCTGGGGCAGTGGGAGAGGAGAGGGGTGGCCCTGGGATGCTCACTGGGTTGCTCTGTGGCCCCTAATTTTCATTTACCTGGTCTTTGCCAGGGCCTTTTGGAAAAAAATCAGCATTTCCAAGTATGTTGAGAAGAAATATGCCAAGAAGATCCCTGCTGCTCAGTGGTCTGGCCTCGCAGAAGCTGTCAAGGACAAGGACGTATTTTCTTTGCTCCAAGCATATGTGGAGAATGTGGATTTGAGCGAGCCTGTGCTGGCACCTCTGCAGGTATGGCCACCCATCCTGTGGGCCTGTATGGCAAACAGCTTTGCTGTCATCTCTCCAGCCTGTCCATACGGGTCCCTATGCTCAGGAAGCGACGGAGTTTTCTGATGAAAACAGTGCTTTCTGTGAGCTGGGAGCAACAGGCAGACTTAAGCAGGGTGAGGAACATCATGGCAGAGGGAGGTTTTCTGGCTGCAACCCCACAGCCCTCCTCGTGCTCTGTGTGTGGGCCAGAAGTCATAACCATAAGCCTAAGGCTTTCCAATGGCCAATTTGTAACTGAGATTTACCTGTAAACTTCTGAGCACATTTTCTCAGGACATCCGAGTCTCACTGTAGGCTGAAAAATCAGGGCAGCATTTTTTCCTGCAAAACCACAGCATGGGTCCTTGCTATAAGTGCAAGAAGCGATTGCAGCCCTAACCCTTGGAGCTGCAGGCACACTGCTGTGCCACTCCCTTTGCCAGCAAGGACACTGGTGGGTGTCCTCCAGAGTAAAAGCAAAGGAGCAAAATGCTGCAGTGAGCAAGAAGCACCATCTTGTATGGCATGTCTTGGGACAAACCAGCAAGCGAGAAGCAGCTCCGTGGGGAGCAGCTATTGCACACCCTGGGGCTCTGTTGAGATTGTGGACTCAGCAAAGTTCAGCTGGTGGCCTGGGGGGAAAAAAGCCACCTTTGGTTGCCTCAGTTTCTAAATGTGAGAAGGGGATAATTGATTCTTCTTCATGAAGCCATGGGCCATGGCTCTATGCATGTTAACTATGTTCTCACCAGCCTGGGTGGCCATGACTGTGAAAAGACAGTCAAAACCTGTTCATCTCTCAGGAATTTGAAATGTTTAAGGACAGTCGCTAAGGGACAGTGCTTCTACCTGCAGTAGTGGTGCAGGCAAACACGGTCTCATCCTTGCTGTATTTCTCTTGGCTACAGGAACCTGGGGAGACCATTCTCCACCTGGCAGTGCTGTTGTCTGATCGAACTTCTTTGCATATCGTTGATTTTCTTATCCAGAACAGGTAAGCTCATGACACCCAGTCAGCTTGTCATGGCTAAGCTGTGCTAGTGAAAGGTGCAAGACTGATTTTCTTTTCCAAAATGCTCCCAAAAAAGAGAAAAATCACTGGGGCAGGTATCCCAGCAAATGTGCCTTGGCCTGGGCTTGGGGTAACTACCCCTAGATCAGAGGGGCCTTGAGTTCCCTCGTCTCCTCTGGGTTGAGGTGTGATGGTGGTGGTGACCACCTCTTCTTCAGATGAGGTGGGAAGAAGGACATGTGTACCAGCACCAGGCAGTATTTGCTGTGGCTGGGGCTGGTGGCTCTTCCCAGGGATGCTGATGTTATTCACCATCTGCTGCAGCAGGAGCCTGGCAAAGCGGACGGCAGAGGGGAACACGCCACTTCACTATTGCTGCTCTCACAACAAACCTGAGTGTGTCAAACTGCTGCTGAAGGCCAAAGCCAACATTGCCATCAGTGAGTGGCCACAGGACCACCCCACCATGGTCTTCTCAGGTCTTCTCTGGAAACACATCCTTAACCTTGCTAAAGTGCTCAGCAGTGCTTGTCTGCAGCTGGGGAGAGGCTGCGGAAAGGCAGGTTGATGACGGTGTTGTGTGGGGATCCTGCCCACAGAGTGACAGCCTCAGGCTCTTCTCTGCATGTCCAGTGAGGTGTCCTGCTCTGACACTGCTCTTGGCTGACTCCAGGCTCAGCAGCATTCACAAGCTTGTTTGGGGTGCACATGGTCCTCCATGAGTGGGGTGACCACATCTCACAGGTTCCTGTACTCAGCAGCCTAGGACAGAAGCGGTGGCTTTGCTTTTGAGCTTGGGGCAGGGGATGCTCCTCTCTACTCCCCAGGGAGGAAACAGCTTGCTCTGGAGTGCTCCTAGCCCCAGGGAGCTCTGCCCCACTTCACTTGTTCCCCTCCCAGGTGGGCAGCCACAGACCTGCTTCTGACTGTCAGCTCTGTGGTGGGACTGCTCTGAGCTCACTGAGCTGGCAGAGCCCCGCAAGGCAAACACTGCCTGAGCTGCTCTTCCACATGAAGCACATGCACAACAGGAGCCAAAATTCTTAACTCATTTTCAAAACCTACGCTGCAGTGCTGGAGAGCAGGTGGGAGGGCTGCTAAAGCGCTGGTTCAGAGACAGTGTGTACTGGTGCTCTGGCACCCAGACCACAGGTTCAACCATTTATACTGCCCATGAATCTCCTCCTCACAACACAGAAGTAAGCTTTAAAACTAGGATCCTGGGTGAAACAGGAGGGCACAAATGTTTCCACCATCAGGTATCAGCTGAGCTGGTAGGTGCGTTGAGCCTTGCCTCCTGGGATGCTCCTGAGATGCTCCCATTTCCTGCTCCAGGCAGTGTGGTGGCTGCCCCTCAGAGGGCAGAGAGATCACGGCAGGGCAGCAGGAGCTGGGTGCATGTCCCTCAGTTGCACAGTGATTCGGCAGCCAAATTTCTCACTGCCTTGGCCGTGCTGGGCACAGCTGTGCCTGATCTGTCTTTACTGACTGCCACTGGTACCTTGAGCATCTTGAGTCTACAGTGCAGACCCTGCTGCTGGTCTGGGGATGCTCTGCAGTGCCTCAGGGTGCAGACCTCCCTCCTCCTTCCCCAGAATCTCCCCAGCCCACCCCTCCCCAGCCAGACTTGCGCTGCAGCTCTACAAGGAGGGGTTTTGCAGAAATAATAACATTGCAGAGCTACAGCAACACTACCACAGGTCCCACCCTCAGACTTCCCAGGAATGGGAGGGGTTTAAGGTTAAAGTGAAACTGAAGTAAAATGGTTATCACTTGTTCGCACTTGCGCTCACTGGGACATGGTTGTCTGGGAGGTCTATGTGTCCACCAAGCATCAGGACACATGTACCAGGTCTGCCCAAAGCTCCCTGTGGTGACACAGAGGACAAGGGGTGCTGGCTATGGAGTCCTCCTCTGGTTTTGTAGCTTTTAGGCTCTAGCAGTGACTGACCTCTTCTGTCTCTCTGTTCTGTCCCATGTCTGTGAGTCATTGGGATTTACTTGTGCTGTTTTCTCTCCTTATCTGGGTGTCTCAGCTCCTGTCCTCTTCTTCATCTTCCCATCACCATCCCCTAATGGTCTGAGTCTTTGTTTTGATCTGGGTTTAGACTGTTCCTTCTTTCAGGCTTATTTGCCTCCAGATGCCCCAAACACAGCACTGCTCCTCAATTTGCTGAACACAGGCTGGACTTGCGGTATTCAAGGCTGCCATTTCCCCCTTACAGCTAATGAAGTGGGAGATGTTGCCAGGAGGATGAGACATCCCCTGTGTGAAGAGCTGGTAAGACACTGTGTCTCATCACCCCTCCGGTTTTGGGATGCGTCCCAGTAGCAGAGAGCGGCGTGGGACCTGCACCCATGTGGATGTGTCCTGCAGGGCCGTCCGCACACATGCATCTCCAGTGCCTGTGTGGGATGCAGAGGAGGGTGCAGAGGGGTCCAGCGGGTGCTGGCCCTGCTGGCATGGGGTCCCTCAGGGCAGAACGGTTTGGGGCAGGCCAGGCAGGGGGACCTGCCACACTGTGCCTGGGCAGGGGGACCTGGAGCTGTACTGAGGCTGCGTGGGGTGAGCGCATCACCTCAGCAAGTCCAACTCTTGCTTCTGCCGTGTCCTGATTTGTGTGTTTGGAGAGCTTTGCAAAACCCCCTTGCTGCTGGGAAGCACTGCTCACAGCTTGTAAATGTTGCTGTGATGGGCAGGTGGTTGGAGATGGGACCAGCAGCTGCCTGTGGACTTGGTGGGTAGGACCGGGCTGGTGGGTCCTCAGGGAGCTCCTCTGTGCCCCAGCTGCTGCAGGCCCAGAGCAATCAGTTCAACCCCAATGTCCACGTGGAGTATGAGTGGCAGCTGGGCCAAGACGACATGTATGAGAGTGATGAAGACCTGGATGAGAAGGTGAGGTCCTGACACGCTCTGGCTTGGGGCCATGTGTGCTGCTGCTCTCCCAGATCCCACTGCACTGGACTGGGTGCAGCCATACTTGCTCTGTCTAATCTGCAAATATCCCTTTCCCAGCTGGGTCCTGTGAAGAGGGTGTCTGCCTGTCCCCAGAGCTGCTACCACCCCCCTGCTGCTGCCCGCAGGCTGGAGGCAGCATGGGCAGTGCCCTGGTGGGCATGGCTGGACACCTGCCCCCCGCCAGCTGCCCACCTCTGCAGCCTGGATGTGCCGCCACCCCCCTCCTACACACCTCCATTCCTGCCCCAGCGGGCAAAGCCAGGTGAGAGCCTGCAGCGGGGTCCTGCAGGGGCTGGCAGGGTGAGCTGCTGCTGTTGCGGCCTGGCTTCATTGGCAGAGGGTGGTCTGGATGGGGAGCTGGGCCCTGATGGGGTGTGAGGGATTGTCTGGTGCCCTAGGGCACCCTTCTGTCCTTGAGGGTCCAAGGCTGGCTTGTGCTGGCTGGTCTGTCCTAGCACTGATCCCTGCTTTGAAGAGCAGTGCAAAGTATCCTTGCCCTTGGAGCCCCTACACTGGTGCCGTTAGGATGCGCTGTCCCCTCCTAAATGCTACTGCTGTTGGGAGAGGCAGAGAAGCACGTCTTTAGAGACAGGGCTGGGAAGACAAAACTGCTGGCAGGAACAGCAGCAGCATCACGGTTCTGCTCCTTAGCAAGACTGGCTCCAGCTGCCCCCAGCCTTCCCATGGCGTGTCCCATCTGTCAGAGCTGCCTGCTTTCTGGGAGACTCATCAAGTCCTGTCTGACTTCCCCTCTGCCAGTCCCAGCTCTACTTCCAATCGGATGCATTTCTCAAGCCAGACCTGCAAGCAGAGAAAAGAAAATCCCTGTCCACGCACTTGTGCCCATTCTCCCCTGGAGCTTCCCCCCAGGAGACCTGCTCAGCACCAGCTTGCTGCTGACTCCTGGTCTGTTCTTGCTCTGTTTAGCTGTCCAGGGGACATATCCACCTTTCCTTACCAGCTCATCCATCTTTGCTGAGGACACAAGAAGCAGGAGGAGCCCACCCCTGCCGCTGAGCATCAAGCACAAGCGCACATCCTCAGAGTGGGCGCCTTGGGTACCACTTAGCCCTGACCAGCCCAGCCTGCCTAGCCTGGATTCAGGTAATGGAAGAACAGGCGCAGAAGGGGCAAAGAAACAGACCACACTGGTGGGAAGGACCTACTGGAGGTCTGCAGTCCAATACCCACACTAGGTCAGGTTGGCTGTGGCTTTGTCTGGCCAAGCCTTGTTAGTGGATCAGGCCTGCAAGACTTCTTGCTTGGACGTGGGGCTGGGAGAGCTGTGGGAGATGCAGCACTGGACAGCATGTCCACAGCTGAGCAGGAGGCAGGGTGCCCACTGGTAGGTACTGGTACCTCCAGGGCAGAGTTATTCTGGGGTTTTCTGGGCTGTTGGAGATGCTGGATTCAGAGAAGGCAATGACCCTATCCCCATCTTTCAGGCAATGGATTTGTTTCCATGAGTGCCCCATGGCAGATGGCCCCTTCTCCGTACCCAGGCAGGGTGTCAGGAGGTGGCTGGGGCAGTGGCTTTCACAACACAACCCTTTGACAAAGGGGTGAGCACTGACAGGAGCAGCCCTTGGTGCTCTGGGATGGAGGTCTGACCAGCTGGATCCTCCAGGTGCCTCTAGGAAACAGCCTCATCCCAGCAGAGCTCAGCAGTGTGGGGGGAACGGAGGATGCCAAGCGCATGATCCACGGCAGCTGCATCCTTCCCCTGGTGCTGGCAGCTCTTGGGTCACCTGGGAGCTGCACAGCCCCTCTGCCCCCAGCCTCCACTTTATGTCCTTCTGCTGCCTGGCTACATCCCCTTCCCCTGCTGCCCCTCTCCATCCCATCCCCAGTCCTTCCCCTTTCCAGCTCCCAGACTGATGGCATGCTTGTTGCCCACACTGTACCGTGTTGCCTGACAGTGGTGGTTGCTGTTGTCCACCCATGATGAAAGATGAGAGGAGATGACCAGCCTGATTGTGTCACAGGTGCCCTGAGAGCCATGCAACCCCTCTGCATGCCTGGCCCCAGCAAAGTGGGACAGCCTGGCCCACACCGATCCCTCCAGGAGCCAGATCCATGTTCTGGCCATGCCCGGGATGTCCCACCTCTTCTTCCTCGGAAGTACCCCACTGGTAGGTGGCCAGTGGCCAGGATCAGCTCAGCTCCCACCTCTGCCCATATTTATCACTTTTGGTTCTGAACTGAGCTGGAGCAGGCCCCAGCAACTTTTCCTCCCAGCACTTCTGCTGTGACTGTCTGGCTTTGACATCTCCCTGCTAGGTGCTGGGAATGCTACCAAAATCCCCATAAGGCTCCACTGACTTCTGAGGGAAGTCTTGTTTATGATTTTGGGTTGTTGGCAGGTGAGAGAGCAGTTTTGGCACAGACAAGGGTGCAGTGTCCACAGTGGCCCTGCCTCTCTGTGGTCCAGGGGACACTCTTCTCCCCGAGGACACTGTGCAAAGGCAGAGTCCTTTTGTTAGGGGGACCTCACTTTGGGTTGCTTAGTCTTGGGATCGTGCTGAGCAGCACTGCTGACTCCTTGCACAGAGCTGACCTGAGAGAACTGGGACCTCAGGCAGTGCAACTGCACATGCCACAGTCCTGAGGCAGAGAAGTAGGGGACTCTAGAAGGATGCTCCAGCAGAAGGAGGTGTCTTCTGGATCCCTGTCCCACCAAAACTCCCAGCAGGTGACCTGCCACCTCTGCCCTCCCTCTGCACAGGAAACCTCTCAGTCTCTCATCCTTACTCCTCACATCTTTGCCAGGAGCTTTGGGATCAAGACTCTAGAGCTATTGTAGTTTGCGTCTGACAAAGCTGAGGAGGCCTGACGATGCTCTCTCCTGCTTGCAGAACAGACTGCTGCTCCGCAGGGTCCGCGCTCTCTATGACTGTGATGCTGACCAGGAAGATGAGCTGACTTTCCACACAGGCGAGATCGTTGTGGTGTCTGAAAAGGAGGACAGCAACTGGTGGGTGAGTGAACCTGCATGTGCTGACTGGCACTGGGATGCACATGCTCCTCTCTCAGTCCATCTCTTCCCCCTGTCTCATGACTGTTGCACCCATTGTCATTTCCTGCTCTGCAGCTGTCTATCTTCCATCTTTTCCCTGGCAACAAAAGGCAGCTGTTATGGGGCCAGTTCCTCATCCCCCTGAATGCCCCTGTGCCATGCTCACTGGTCCTTTTCCTTCCTTTCTCCCCACAGAAAGGGTGGATTGAAGGACAGCCTCACAGGCAAGGTGTCTTACCCGCTTCATTTGTTCACGTGCTCAGTGAGTAGGAGCTGCTTCAATTCAAGAAGGAAGATCTGATCAGCTGCTTAAAATGCAATTCCCCAAGCTCCTATCTGCACCGAGGGCCCCAGGCATGCCTCCCTCACCTCTACTGCTACAGCATCCTTGTCCCCTCAGCCCACTCCTCCCATGGGCTTCTGAAAGTGCCAGGCTGTCCCAGAGGCTCCATTGGGCCAGGCAAAGGGAGAGAAACAGCAACCTGCATGTTCCACAGATGTGCTCCTGCACCAGCCACATTCCCATGCAGGAAACAGGACTTCTGCTGCCAGGCATGCCCTGACCATGCTGCCTGTCCAGTGGTGCTCCCTGCTTTCCTACTGCTAATGGAAACGATGGTAGAGTGGAGCAGCGGCTGTGCCTTCTGGGGCTCTGAAGTTCAACGGGAGCTGTGCTTGCATGCAAACCCTGGCAAAAGGGGCTTCTGCTGAGTGAGGACTGAGCATGCTGGGGGCTTCAAAATGCAAATGAGTGCTGTGGAGCCAGTACCACCAGGAGCCTGTGCCGTCCCTAATTCTTTCCAACCAGGTTTCACCGTGCTCCAGAAAATGTGCTCTGTGGCAGCTCAGGGCATTGCTCCTTTGGTGCCTGGCCCCCCCTCAGTGGTGGAGAGGCCCTTTGAGCCCGCTGCCAATAAATACTGGCTCTTTGGCACTCTGTATTTGTCAGGGCTGTTCTAGTTTGAGTTTCTAGATCCTGCCTCTTCACCACTCTCCCTCAGGCACCAAACCTCCTTGCAGGCGTCAGAGCAAAGAGGGCCCTTGGATAAAATTACTCACAATTCAGCTTGCATGGCTTTTCTCCACTGGCTGTGTTTTTCCAGTTGCTGATGCACATTTCACAGCCTTCGCCCATCTTTTCTGAGCCAAAATCACATCCAGGTGAGCAAAAGAAACCAGCTGGTGAGGTTCTGGATGCATGAGGCTGTTGAGACCTCTGTGTTGCTGGCATCAGTGTCAGCAGAAGTTGAGCCATCCCAGCAGGACCCATAGGGGCAGGAGGGCACTTCCACTCCAGGCAGCTTCTCCCACCCTCAGAGGAACACTTTAATGATGAATTTCCTGATTCAGCCCTGGGAACGTGGCCAGGGCATCCAGCGCCAGCGGGACTGGTGGCTACCGCAATGCTGGGCTGCATGAGAAAACTGTAGGATGCCAGGGCGCTGCTGGAGGAGGGACGGCAGCCCTGACTTCAGTCGCTGCAAGGCTCTGTTCTCCCCCACGTCATGGTGCAACACTTCCTCTTCCTGTGGTGATTGTTGCAGCTTTGCAACGAGCGCTGGCAAGGCCACCAACCCCGGAAGCATCAGCTTCACCTGGCCCTGCTCAGCGGCACTTTCTCTGAGGAGGTGAGGGGCCCCGGGGACAGCTGGCTGGGGACCAGGGGGTTGTGACTTCATGAAGGCCTCTTCCCTGACTGAGGGTCTGGGGAGTTCCTGGTGGTGTTCCTTGAGGCTGAGCAGTGACAGGGACAGGTCTGTGGCCACTGGGCACAGCCTGATGCAGCAGCTGCATGGCTGCAGCACGGTGGCTTGTGGCTGATGGCGCTGGGCTGGGCAACCCCAAGGCAAGGGTACCGCTGGGCGCAGGGCCAGGGGTGGTCGTTTCAGCCACCATGGGGTGTGAGTGCAGGTGGACAGGTCCTGTCTGCGGAACAGGGACTGGGCAAGGGCACAGGCAGGGAGATGGGGCTGCTCAACCCTGTCTGTCCAGAGCTCTGCCCTCTTGTGTGTGACTTTTGTGACTGCAAAAAGCTTCATGAAATATTCACTGCACTGCCTGAGTCCCTTGGCTCTGGGCTTAATGGAGCTGCTGGTGCCGGCCATGCAGCTGCCAACCAGCTCATCCCCCTCCATGTGCTGGCAGCTTAATAACCCCTGAGGCTCCATGAGCGCCTGAATCAGCCCGGGGCACCTTTGGCTCCTGGCCTGACTGGCATGTCAGATGGATGCTTTTTGCGTCCATGACAGCAAATGCTCATGGCTGCTGCAGGAGGGCAAAAGACTAAGTCATGGGGATCTGCAGCCGCTGGCAAGGGAGAGCGTTGGGGGCCTTCAGGGTCACTCCAAGCCCTCAGGGTGAAGAACTGGCATTTTGTGGCCTCTTCCTGCTTGGGTGCACGCACATCTGTGTTTCCGGCATGCTGGTGGTGGCTTGCTTGTGCTTCCCTTCAAGAAGAGGTGATGGTTCTGTTGCTTTTTTTTTGAAAGGGCAGGCTTGCAGGGGAGCATGACCTGCTGTGGCCACCTGAGATCATCCAAACCACCCCCCTGTCCATCTCATCTCTGCTCACTGGTTGGACCCTGAAGGAGCAGCAGTTTTGGTGTCAGGTGCGCATCCTGTGGGTCAGTTTTGAGTGCGGCTGGTTGCATACCAGGGCGAGCAGGTATATCCATGCTGCGGGAGCTGCAGAAAATGGTTAATGTGGAGAAATTAAGCTTGTGCTGACCCGTGGCCCCATGTCAGCACCTGGGGAACTGAGGGAAGCACAGGGTGTGGAAGGAGTTTCTCTCCTTCACCTTTCCCAGTACAGAGGGGACACCCCACCCGTCCAGCCCCCTCACCCTCCCCACCCCCTCCAACCTGCTGCAGTTACTTCTGACCCTGGGATGGATGCTGTCCCCACATCCCTTCTCCTCACTCTCTCCTTGGCCCATGGGAGCCAGGTCCTGAGAGGCTGAGCACCTCATGAACTCCCTGAGGACAAGAGAACCCTTTTCCCTTTGACTTTAGCTCTGCATGAATGCTTTTAGATGAAGAACAGAAATTTCACATAAATATGGGTATTTATTTAAGAAAGGTTCATGCACACAGACAGTAGGTAGTTCCTCCTGGCAATGATGCAGTGTCCTTCAAGCTGCAAAACCGCAGGGCTGCTGGGGAGGGAGTGCCTTGCTGGCCGCATGGCACCTGCACGGGCTCATCGTGCATGTGGGTGCTCCACAACGCTGGCACGTGTGGGGAGGAAGTGTCAGGGCTTGCTGCGGGCAGAGGAGCTGCTTTGCAGGCGGCGGGGGTGGAGTTTGGCTTGTGCTGGGGCGATGACACTTTGCCACTTGTTCCCAGGTCAATTTGCAGACCCTAAAAGTGTTGCAGGCAGAACACAGCCTCTTGCACAGCACGTGCTGCCAGCCAGCCCTGCCTGGACCTAAGCAACTGTGGCAGTGCCAGAAGCAGAGCAACAGCAATAAAGCCATTGAACAATCTGAAAAAGGAAACACGTACCAGGCTATTTCAGGTTCCTGCAGGGTTGGTGAGCAGCCAAGGCGGGTGCCAGGAGGCTGGGCAGGGCGGGTGGATGGGAAGGGGTCCTGTGGTGCTACTGCCACCGGTCCCTGTGACATTTCACTGCAGGTGGTATGAGGGATGCTGTGCCAGAGGCACACACAGGTGGTGCTGGCCCTGTGCCTGCTGCTGGTCCTGTGGCAATGTTTCCGAGCCCCCACGGATGGCCTTGGCCCCTTCCCTTGGGCTCCATCCCTCTTCAATGCCCCTGCTACCCGCTGCACCGTCGGCACCAATGGTTCTGCGTGGTTCAACGCTCGCTACAACATGGCCATAGGGCCTCTGCTGATGGGCACAGCCCATGAGCTCTCCTCCGATGTGATTCAGTGGTGGCTGGTGAGTGGGAGCAGCATGGGCAGGAGCTTGGGGCTCTTCCCGGACTCTCCAAATCTGTTTGTGGTGGGGCAGGGCCAAGGTAAAGTCAGACAAACGTGATGGGGTGAAGGGGGTGCAGGGACCCCAGCTCACCATGCCCCCACCATCTCTCTGGGCTGTCCCCCACCCTTTTCCCAATATCCCATTGGGGTTTCTATGCCTTTCTCAAGGGTCCACTGGGAGGAGTGGGGCACTATCCCCCTTTGGGGGTACTGGGGGGGAGGCTGATGCTGCCTGTTGCTGCCCTTGCTCCTCCAGACCCTGCAGGGTCCCCCGAGTGGCGTCCAGCTCCAGGCCATAATTCGGCAGCTCTTCAGTGTTCTTCCGGCCCCGACTGGTGGTGTGTGGGACCTGTCTCGCTGCAGGACTTGTGCGGTGGTAGGGAACTCGGGGCGGCTGAAGGGGTCTGGCCACGGGCTGCGAATCGATGCACACAACTGGGTGCTGAGGTGGGTGACCCGAAGGAGCTTGGCCCCTCCCTGTCTCCCTGGAACCCTGGTGTGCCCCAGCTCCTGGCCAGCCTGTGAAATCCACCAACACAAGCCCTGCGATGGCGGGGGGGGTCTGCTGGCCCTGCTCCCTGGAGCCCCCATGCTGGAGCACACAGGCCCTGTGTTTCCCATGTCCCCATGGCTGCTGGCCAGGGTGCCCTGTGAGACTGACAGCCTGGGTCTGGCACAGTGTGCACCTTCATTTCAGGACATGCCTTTCTGCTGTCCCCTAGGATGAACAGAGCAAAGATTGCTGGTTTTGAGCTAGATGTTGGCATGAGAACAACACATCACTTCATGTATCCGGAGAGTGCAGTGAACCTCAGGCCCGGTGTCCACCTCGTCCTTGTCCCCTTCAAGCCACTGGACCTGCAGTGGGTGGCCAGTGCCTTCTCCACTGGAGAGCTCACACAGTGCGTCAGCTTTGTGGGATGGCGTCTCTTGTGCTGGAGACCCTAGGAATGGCGTGGTGTGGTCCTGGGGACCTTAGTGTCTCACTGAGGCCCTGGCACCACAGTCCTGGTGGGATGAAGGGCCCTTGGGGCATTCCTCTGCACTGCAGTTTGGGGAAGTGGGCACTGACCCATCCTCTCAGGGCTTGGGCATCCTGCAGTCCCATAACCCCCATGGATATGATGGTGGCTGTCCCCACTGTGGGGCCATGGGCTTGATATGTCCCTTCCCAGAGCCAGGCTAGGGGGATGCTGCTTGGGCCAGTGCAAGGGGCTGGGGGTGCCATGGGTCTGGGTGCTGGCAGACACAGCCACCCTCTGCAAACCGGCTGCCTCCAAAGGAGAGGCCCTGGCAGTGGGAGTGCCCCATGCTCACTTCTGTCCTCTGGCTTTTGCAGCACATATGTGAGAGTGAAACAGTTCATCAAAGCTGACAGAAACAAGGTAAGGGCTCATCAGGCCCCAGTTCCTCCTGGGCAAGCAGGGCTCCTCTGGGCAGAGACTAGGCTTGTTTTTCAGTGGGTTGTGGGCAGAGCAGGGAAGCGGGAGGGCGGATGGCTGTGCTGGTGGTGGGGGTTGGTTGGCTGTCCCGTTCACAGCACAGTGCATACCTGATGGCTCCTCTGTTCCCCACTCAGGTGCTGATCCTGAGCCCAGCTTTCCTCAAGTACATCCATGACAACTGGACGCAGTGCCATGGGCGGTACCCTTCCACTGGCTTCGCAGCCCTGCTCTTCGCCTTGCACACCTGCCAGCAGGTGGGGGCAGCCAGCGGGACTGGGTGCTGCTGCCATACCACCACTGCACCACCTGTCTGCGCGCTCCCAGGCTGACCAAGCACCCATGCAATGATGGCTTTTGCTGGCATGTGCACAGGTCTCCGTGTTTGGCTTTGGAGCAGACAGTGAAGGGAACTGGCACCACTACTGGGAGAAAAACCGCTGGTCCGGAGCCTTTCGCAGGACAAGGGTCCATGATGCTGACGTTGAATTCGCTATCATCGAGAGACTGGCAGCTGAAGGCAGGATTTTATTCTATAAATGATGTATTTTCAAGAAACTGAATCCAGGCCATTAGTGCAGGAACTGGAAGACCCTTGCACTGCTGGCAGCTGCCTTGGCTCTTTAGCTTGCTTCTCCTCCCAGTGTTGCCATGGGCCCAAGCTCACAGACCCTGTGATCCTGGACCCACCAGCTGGGCACTGTTGATTGCCAGGAGGTGACATGCTCCCATAGTACCAGGGACATTGCATTTAGCTGGAACACAGGCTCTGCCCATGCTGGCTGGGAGAGAGGAAGGGGAGACGGTAGGGCTGGAGGTGGGCGTGGAGTCTGTGAACTGCTGTATGCATCCCTGCCATGGCCACAAAGCTGTTGGGTGACAGCAGTGGTGGTGATGGCAGCCCCTCAAATGTGGTTGTACACATGATGGAGCTGACATTTCCACCCAGTGATGGCTTTTGGGGGAGGTCTGTTGTTGTTCTTTGGGCAGAGGGAGAGGGGCATCTTCCCTTTCTGTCTTTTTATAAGTAGGGAAATATTTTTAAAATTGCATCAAAGAATAAGAAAGGAAAAAATAAAGCATGCGAAGTCAGAAGATGACAGAATCAAGTACAGTTGAAATGAGCCTATGTTGAATAAACTCTGAAAACACACGTGAATCTATTTTGCTTTACTTTTTGAGCCCTTACTGCTTTGAAAACAGCACAATCTACCTATCTCTGTCTCACCCTGCAGAACAAGATTGCAGACCCTGGAGACTGAGCTCCCCAAAGAAGGTTTTCTCCTCCAGAGCAGGGTTAGCGGGATGTCTTCCACTTTCAATCACGAACATCCTTGAATCAGACTCAGCTTTCCCATGGCTATTAGTCACTTGGTCTTTTGGTCTTTTAAAATCACCAGATCTCTCCTACTCATAAGCTCCCATGATAGTAGAAGCCTGTATTACTTATTAGCTTCATTGATTTTTGACCTCTCCAGGTAGAAGCTCCGTTTCTGTATGTGTCTTCTGTTTCTCTTCTCCGTTATACCCAGTTTCCCACACTAAGTAAAAGTCTTAACACTTACCTGTCCTTTCACCTTCCCTCTATTTTCTCTAGGTGCTAAGTAGTGCTCTGAGCAGTGCTCTCCAACTATTTTCTGAGGTTTACAACTGATTTGCTTTCTTATCAAAGACAAGTGATTAGCTGGTAATTGTTTAACTGTGGGTTAAACTCTTGTTACATTACTCCATTCACCTTCCCCCTCCTGATTAGTCTTTTAAATTTAGTTACAAAGTTGTGTGCTCCGCTGAGTGATTGAAGCTGCTCTGGACACCTTTTGTTCCTGATAAAGCCGGATAATAATATAGAAACTATGTCCCCTTCTTCACGTAGGTTTTTACTTCTTTACGTAGGTAGTACTATATGATCATGACCTGATGAATTTATTAAATACCCTTGTTTCAAATGTAATTTTTTTTTTTTACAAACCCATTTTTTTTTCCAGTATTCTAGTTTGGAGATTAATCAGTCTCCTTACCCACACCACAAATTGCTTCTCTCCCTGCTTGAAAAAACACAGGTTTTTATACTCCCTGGTTTGTAGATAGGTTCAACTAATGAACCCCCCCGCCCTGCAAACAAAAACTGCTTTCAAATGAATTTTAAAATAGCTTTCTCTCTGCATTATCTGATCCTGTGCACTGTTGGACCAATTGGCTGGACCAAGTTTATAGACTCAATACCAAAACAAATCCAGATCTGAGATTTAAGAGTAATGAGTCTGTTTTGCCTTAATTTTTCATTAAAAAGAAAAAAAAAAACATCATCATGATGATATCTACATACTTTGCCACAATGCAGGTGTGCTTTTTAATTATAATCTCCAATTCAGTACCAGACTAGTTCAAATAATTTAATTATTCTTCCAAATGCTTTACCAAAACACATAGAGGATGGACTTTATTTCAAAACATAAACAGAGGAGAATTGAAGGACACAATCCAATTTAAAAATCAGTTAAAACTCTAAACACTTTTTTTTTCCTGAAACATCAACTTGCATCTTTCATAAGAGCAGCAATCTGGAGCAACTGCAATGCCCCATGGTACAGTAAGGACATCCCAAGTGCTAGGTCTCACCATGTTGCCCAGGACAGCTGGAAGGAAAGTGCATAGGATTCAGCACATATTCACAGAGGTCTGGCATACAGCACCAGCACACTCAGAAACACTTTTAAGAAAAATTTAAAAAGCTAGATGGTGCTGCTAGAAAGCTTATTTGATGGCAACTTCAATCCATTCCAGGTCTCACAACAATACAATACATTATTGCTGGAGGCAACCAGAATGCAGTATCTTCTGCATCTCTTTTGGGAAGGGGGGCAGAGCTGAATGAACATGGACTGACACAAAAGGGTTTTTACAGTAGGGTCTGCACAGCCAGACAAGATGGCTAATCTTTACAGCAGCAAGGTTCAAGCAGTTCCATCCACAAATTAATGCCAAACAAAGAATGACAGGACAGATAAGAGTGGTCAGGGCCATCTGGTAATTCCAAACCTCTTCTCTTGTGCACTCAGATCACTTGTGTTTCGAAAAACCTGTTTAGATGTCCTTAGAGGTTTTTTTGTGGGATGAGGTCATTGCTTATTTATGTTGTCTTCCCAAGTTCAATTTTCTTCTGGATGGCATGTGCTGAGTGATAGATCAAAGAGTCAATGAATCCTGCAACTAAAAGGAAAAAACAGATGGATCAAGCCAGACATGCCTCAAAGAGAGAACAACTCCCAGGGAAAGAAAACACAAATGCTTCTGTCAGTGGAAAGGAATTCCAGCTCCCCCAGACAGAAAACAGCTGCTGCAGCTCAGAAGAATAAAGTCTTCATCTCATTAGGACAGACAAGATCCAGCTTGCAGGGCAGAGGTCATGATGCTTCTCCAGAAAAAGATACATCTTACAGAAGTAAAAATGAGTCAGGCCTAGCCACGTGTGTTTACTTATGATTGAGAAGAGTTTGGAGAGGAAGCTGATGCTGACAGCTGTATGCCATGTCACTGCCCTGACCCAGCTTGCCAAGGGCATATTTGCCATTTCTCGCTCATTTCACAGTAATGTTAAAAGTAAGCTACTCTACCCGATGCTTCCCTATGTGGATGCCCTTTATCGCAGACTGCAATGTTTACCCACCAAGGACACAAAGCAAAATAAACCGATGCCTTTAGTTCTTTCTGCAGTATTTTCCCCAAATCCCTCCAGGACTGAAGGAGCCTATTAATTCAGTGCTCGTTTGGGACCACAGCAAAGGTCAGTATGGGTCTACTGCACCACAAAACCCAGACAACCCTGCATCCATTGAAGCATCTTTCACAGGACAGGAACCCTGAACTCCTGCCAGAGAGGTAACGCAGCGTGCCAGTAAGCGAAGATGCCTTTATGAAGCTTCACGTTCTTTTTTATTTTATTTAACACCTCAATCTAAGGAATAAGTAAGAGATTACTTGGCCCTACACAAAGACAGACATTTCAATACTATATAAAAAGTAGCAGCTAAAACGGGAACCGCGTCTTCTGTTTATTACTGTAGAACACTTAATTATTGGCCTTACTATCTGGTCTTTGAGTAGCTTTCAGATGACTTGTCTTTTGTGGTTGTTTAAATTAGCTCTGCTTGTGGAATCAATTTGACACTGTAACACAAAAACTGTTACACGGCTGATTTGATCTGTCCTCTAGAATAGAGTGTCCTTTGAACAAGGTGTATGGCAGCAAACACTATGAACTGGCTGTCAAACTTAATTAGTGTTAGAGGGCACTTGCATTTGTCATGAAAATAATTTTTAAAAGCCTTTCCCGAGTCAACCACAAGAATGAATATGATCAAATTTATTACAGACAGAAATCATGTTTAACAGCATCAGGTTAATTAAGCATTGTGATACCTCAGGTGGCAGGAGAACCTTGCAGATGAAGGTATTAAGTGATATAGGTATGTGACACAGGAGTTATGTAGTACAGTAGCTGGCTTCTCAGGTCCAGTAAGATCTGCTGACCAGACTTCCAGGCTGGCCCTTCACAGTCACGTGAACATCTCTGACTATGTTTCAGAACACCCTGGTTATTAGCTGGAGTGCAAGGCTGGACCAAGGCTGGGCTGTCACATGCATGGAGCTGAGCAGATACTGATTAGCTATTCCAGAAGCCAGCACTGAGAATGAAGTCCAGACACTCGAATGTTTCTGCACGAACAGCCACCCCTTACAGGACCTTGTCTAGCTGTGAGGGGTACTTTTAAGTCCCTGCAGAGCACTCACTGGAGCGCCTATGTCTGGGAACATAGTTTGAGACTTCTGAGATAGCTATGCCCATGATGGCCCTGGTTCACAGATTTTCCTGGCTTTGATTCCACATGAAAGCAACTATCTGCTTACAGACACAAGTTTGGCCAAGAAAACAGTACAGATGCATTCATACGGTATGTGAAAGACTGCATTACTTGAAAACAAAATGTCCTGTAGAGCATCAAAATGAAGTATGATGATAGATCTACATCATAATGAAATGAAATATTTAATCAAATGAAATATTGTAACAGGCCTACATAATCCACAGCATCTTGAAAGTCTGCAGTGCTAATTACAATCTGATGCCACCCATGGCTCTGCAGAACATGCTGTATTCCCTCCTGAAGACTCAGATCATCTCTCCCCATCAAACAGGGATATATTACCAGCCATGCAGACTTTAGAAAGAGTAAGATGGCAAATGTTTACACTTTAGAAAGAAAAAAGATTGAAAGGTGCAATACCTGTAAATATGCCTCCAACGATGGCACAAACTCCTGTGAGAAAGTGTGTAAAGGACCTAGAATGAGGAAAACAATTTGAACAACCAGCATGAGCTCAGATACCAATATGTCAGATAAGTAAAAATTAACTAATAAGAACTAATTCATAATTATCATAATGTTCATCATAGCACATAAGTATACATTATATAAATATTAATAGCTGACAATTAACAGACTTAATTAAATAACCCCTATTGGCTACAGAATGGAGTTTGTCACTGATACTTTTACTGAGCAGCACTGAGTAGTATTAGAGCTGTGTGCTCCAACGAGCTCAATGGCAACCCTAGAAGGCAAGTACTGAATTTATAAATGTAACAGACATTTAATCCCTAAGAATTTATCAATTTCTACCTAGACAGAATGCACAGCAGGCACTGCAACACAAAAACAAAATTCCTAAGCACATATTAAAACATTTTGAGGTATATATACAATCCCTTCCATTCCTCTGCAATTACATGTGTGTGATTAATGGAGGACCCAGAAAGAAGAAAGAGGTTCCACACTGACTATGACATGCAGAAAACCTATAGCAAATGCAGAGTAAGTAACCAGGCTGGATCAGTGTGGGTGCTGGTGCAGCTACTGGTAAGATGGGTATGCTATATAAATGTAGTCTTCCCATTAAAAAAGACTCTGAGGAAATTAGTCTGAACTGAGAACCACTATATCAGACTTCTGCTTGCTGCACCAATTTTCTTCTCCATTTTGATATTGGATTAAAATGTTTCAGGGAGTATCAGAAAAATCCCAATCCCTTTCAGATGTTCACAATGAGAGGAAGGGCATCTGGGAGTGCCTCTTGCTCTCCAGTGACTGGGAAGGGGCTGGGATGCCTTTCAGGCATTTGCACTGTTGTGTCTAAGCAAGGGTGGAGTTTTAAGCTACGCAAAATGACAAAAATCAATGGAGGGTGAATGAAATAGATTGAAATGTCTCTTACCTGTGTTTCTCTGTCAGCTTCACCATCATGGGTGAAAGTTCATATAGCACAAATACACCAGGCAGACCCTGGTCTCCTAGTAGCCCATTGGCTATCTTCTCATGTCGTGTAACTGAAAATTGGTTAGTCCTTACCACCTAGCAGGAAACAAACACAGCAAATGTTGTTTTGTTAACGAGGAATAGGAAAGGCTACTTAAACATGAGTTCAGTGAATCATATCAGTGTAGCCCCGCCCACTCACTCGTGGGGAGCCTGCCAGTGGTTTTACAAAGGGTCATAAACAGCACCCTCAGGATCAAGTCTATTTTTACTACAGGATATCAGTTTAAAGCCCCAGCTAGCCCAAAGAATGAGTGATGCATCAGTCCCCAGGCTGGACTGTTCTGGTCTCTGCTGGCAAGTAATGGCTCAGCTGTCCCTCTCGACCTCAATGCCAAGATCATGTCATCCTCTACCAAAACACAGTCCACATAAGCATGCTCCAGGAGACAGCACCAATGTGAGAAAGCCATATATATTCAAGAGTGAGAAAAAAGGAAATAATACATAAAGGCTGAAGAGTGCCAGGGCTGCAGAAGAATACAGATTGTCTGTCTTTATATAAATGAAGATCACCCTGCAGCATTCTTCTGTGCCCTACCATTCTTCTACACATTGTTCACACCAGTCCTATTCTTACAGCAAATAAATTGGGTTTCTGTAAAATGAAATTATGTTCTGTCATCCCCAATAAGCTATCTATCTGACACAAATTGTGATCTAAGCTGATCCATAGTTACCATAAGTATAAGCATCATGGTCTGCATGGACCACTCTCCTGGAGAAGTCCTTTGAAAACTGAACAACAGCTCTACAGGAGAATGCGAGATTTCATCAAGAGAAACAGAAGCCATAGTATACTGGGAGGTAGCCATAAGAACAGGGCTATGATTAACTATCCTTTGTACTTCAGGAATTTCAATCATCCACAGAAATTGCAGATGCATCCTGAATCTGAATCCTGAAGAAAGAGCTTCAAACGTGGCCTGAAGGTTTTCCCAATATACTCATAGGCCAAGTAGCTTCCACCCAACTTCTGAGAACAAACAGATGAGTCCTTTCTAGGCAGGGTATTGAAAAAAGAGTGGTCCACATAAGGATTTATCACATGAGAACTCAGCCTGGCAAACAGTTTTTGTCTTTAGGGAAGACGAAGAAATACAAACTATGTCTACCTTTCCAATTTTGTTAGATTGCTCTGCCCACACTGCACTAGGACAGCTTCACTTGAATGTCTGCATTGTATGTACCGTGGCCATGGGGCTCCTCAGATCAGTGGTTCCTAATGCAGCCTCTGACATAACTAATAATCTGCTGGTGATTTACATTACAGAATGCCTAACACAACATGAAGTTTGTGTGGACGTGCAGTAGTATGTTGTTCTGATTGCAAGGATACGTGGTACATGCCTGAGAGTGGCACGAGTTTAGGTGAAGGGGGTTCCCAGCATTGTGGGATTTGCGCAGCATTATAAAACTGCATAGGACAAGGGAGTCAAACCCTGGCATAGTTTCATCCACGTGTAGATAAGTCCTTGCACTGAACGAGCCCCAGAACCACACTTGGGTTTCACCTCAGAGGAACCTTAGAGGTTTGTGTTAAAGTGAAGCTGGGCATGGACCACCCACGCAATGCAGAAGATACAGAACCACAATATGGGAGACAGATAGGGAGCTAAGCCATCTTGTATGTGAATGTTCACAGAGTTACTGGGGCACGTGGCACCTGTCTCTTCCTCACAGGGTTAGAGAAGTATACTGGGTAGCACTGGTGGTGAAGTCTGCACAATAGGAGAGCTGCTGCCTCTTACTGGTGTAAGAGGCAAAAGAAACATCAGAGCTTACATCATTCTTCTGCCCTAAGACTATGGGGGCCCAAATAATGATAACTGACAGGTTTGGTGGTGTTTGTTTTTTTTTTGTTTTTTTTTTTTTTTTTTTTTTAAAAGAAATTCTCCATAGCTCTTGAGATCCCCTGCATAATGATGGCAACCAAAATAAACACTTCCAAACAACAGAAAGAAATCGGGGTTCTTTCTTCTCCCTCAGGCTGTCTTCGGAAGACAGAGTAAGTTTGTCTCTGTTTTCAGGATCTTTGTCTCATCCTGGTATCTCCTCAGTACTTTGTTTATCCTACCTGTTCCAAAAGGACATATACTGAAAGCAGGGCTGGAAATGTAGTCATGCTCTTTTGGAGGCTAAAGGAGTTTTTAAATTGGAGACAAGCTGATCTTGGGCTATTCTCCAAAGAACACTTTTAGGACCTTCTTGCTGCTCTGACTTCTCCTGAGCATGCACTATGAGGGATTCATGAGGGAACAGGATGAAAATGGCACGGTCACTTTGATTTAGGTGGGATGGAGGAGCCCGAAATCTACTTCTTCACTGCTGCAATGTTACAGATAACATTACACCATAGATACTGTTATTCTTGCTGGGATGGTTATATGAAGAAAGTTGAACAGATTATGTTGCTTCCACCAGAGGTCAGATTATGGTCAGTGTCAGAATGTAAGGAGAAATCTGATGGCTTTCACTTGCCAAAGCGACAGAGGAAAAAAGGTACTTACCTCACCATCTACTTTCATATACACTGTGGGGACCACTTTCACAAAATACTGAAACATCATGGAAGCTATAGGCAAAGACAGAGAGACACAATTAATAACCAGCAAAGAGCTGGAAAATTTAACTGACAGGTAGACACAAATTGATTTTGTTCAACTTGTCAGGGAACATCTTTCTGCACAACAGCTACTGGAGGTTTTCAAGGACAGTAAGGTTAATGTCTGACATGAGTTTTCCTTTTGCCAAAGTGAATCTCATTCCTGTTCCAACCAAAATCAAAACTACCGGCATTTTGGCCTTGATTAAATGGAAAACTTTCTACAAGCCAGTTATCTTGCTATAGTTTTACCAGTACGACTTCCTGAGAATTCTTATTCTAGCACATGAAAACCTTTATATTTAACAGCATAGCCCTAAGAAAACATACTCAACTCTAAGTAAGTATCCTATATCAACTTCAGTTAACACTACAGTTTATTCCTGTAGAAACATGGTTTGTATCCTATCAGAAGATGAAAGGAAGATCTGGATCAGTGAAGAAAAAAATAGGAGAGCTCCTTCTGCTGCCTCAGACCAGCCTGTTCCTTCAGTTCTCTTAAGGATAATGGGAGGCAGGAGTCACTTTGAAAACGTATTTTCTATGAAACTCCCTAGAGGAGAAGATTATTCATCCATTTCTACAGAAGAAGTAATTCTCATATATAATATCTTTAGCTGGTCTGCAATAAACATAAATTTGACCTGCAATCTACTTCTCCCACTTCTCTTCTGGAGCACGTCTTCAGTCCTAATTCCTCAAGAATTTGCCAACTGGTTCTCGGCAGCCCAGGATGGAAAGCTTCAGCCTACAGAGAGAATTTTACCAGCCAGCTACAGGCTCCCTCTCAGACAGTTTGTTACTCCACAGAAAAACTACAGCATCACGATCATATTGAGCATTATGACACCTTTTCATTTTTCTGTATTTTATTTTAAGCACCATCCTTTGATTTGGATACAAGAATTAAAATTGATGGTGGAAAATTTAAAAGAATGGATTCAGGTAGGATTAACAATGCTACCACCACCTCAAAGCAAACGACTTCTTTCTTCAAGCTTTATTATATAACAGCACCCCAAGTATCTGCAAAGGGAAACTTTGCAGACTTCAGCGGATCTAAAAAAATAACTAATCTCTGCAGTGGCATATAAAGTGGCACGGTCAGGATCTTTCATGGAAAATGCACACAAGCAGGCTTGTGTGAATAAACCAAGAGCAGCAGTGGCATGAGGACAGAATTGCCTTTCCTTCTCAAGCCAGCAAACTGGAGCTACCTAGAAAAGATCAGCAATATTTCAACTTCACTGCAGCTGTTCAGCTGTTACTGTTGGGTAGATCAAGGTCAGGCAGACAACATGGCTCTCCAGCAGCTATCAATTAGGCCTTTTTTCTCTGTCCTGCATCTTGTGGTTATCTCCTACTGCATGCAGTAGCTAGACTGTATAGTTCAGGGCTCTTCCTGAACTACACCTGATGTAGGCATTTAATAATGGTGTGCTGTACCTGCTGTTGTGCATCCATGAACACTGAAAAGAGAAATCTTTCAGAAAGGTCACAGAATTAAAATATGCTGGCAGATTTGTTCCGGATGAATGCAAGCAGCTGTTCCAGAAAGACCACATGGTGGAGGAGTCCATGTTTTATGCAATGCTGCCAGGGTTCTTGGTAAAGACTAGGAACTTCGCTCCTGTTCTCTTCTCTACACTTATTAATACAGACGTGTAAAAAGAGATTTCTCTCAGATGGCTTTTACCTTGCTGTGCAGTGACATCCGTCCCATCGAGAGGATTCACAATGCCCGGGTAATCCCTTCCAAATGAGAGATGCTTGATATAGTGCGTCATATTTATCTGAAATGGAAATGCTAATAGCTTAACAACTGCACAACATCCGAGGGGCAAGGTAAGGGACCTAAAGTTAATTATTTGTGTATTTTTTCTGAGTGTGGCTCTGGAACAGAGACAGGTCCTCCCTTACTCTGTGCATCCTAACAGTAAACTCCAAAGCATTTGCTCTTCTTTTTTATGCATGGGAGATTCCAAGATGTGGAATTTCTCCTTTTCCTGCTGGAAATCCTGAGATCCTGGTGCCCTTCCCTCCCATCTACAGACCAGGCTCTCCCACCCACCCCTCTCCCTGCCACAGGAACACCACGCTGTCAGCTGCCTCGGTGCCATAGGTATGGGCATCATCTGCTTTCCTCTCACCCCACGGTAAACTCCAACAGATCCAGAAGAAGTTGTGAAAGTATCAACCTTAGAAAACTGGGAAGCACAGATTAAAGAGCAAGGCAGTCTCAGGAAGAGGGGAACAGGCTTGTCAAGCAACATGCAGATGTCCCAGAACATACTTCAGAGCCTTGTGTGAAAGCAGGTCCCAGGTTCTGCTCAGACTCAAAGCCAAATCCAGCTGGGATCAGTACACTATGTGGCAAAGGGAGGGAAATCCAGAAGGAAAATAGACCATGAGAAATAGAACACTATCTTGAGAACACTTACGTTATCAAGTCCGAAACTCTGCAGATCGTGTACTGTAAGAGAAAAATAGTTTAACAGTATCTTTCAAACTGTGACAACAAGCATATCTATTTACCTTATTCTAGCTTATAATGGAGCTCCTCTCATTTCCATTGTGATCTAAAATTGCAAGAAAATCACCTAGGTTTCTCTCTTGTTTGCAGTAGGGCATGTGATAAATAAACCTGCTGCAATTCCCCTCCTGACATAGACTAGCCACTGCCAGAGTGAAGGAAAGTAACTTTAATTTGGGCTTAATTCAGATTAGGTATTTCAGTCTTCACCTGAATGTATTCTTAATCTAGGGCAAAAACAAGATCCCTGGGGCAAGCAAGGAAAACTTCACTGTTATCTCAGTCATCACTTGATACATATAGCTCCTCTAACTACTGTAAAACACACAAGGCATAACAGATCTAAACTAAAAACTGAGCAGAGCACATGCTTTAATATCACATGCAAGTGTCCTAAGTGCCATCATCACCTTAGCAACTCTCAGCGCTCTGCCTATCAGCCTTGTTACTGCTGCCTGGAGAATGCACAGGGAAAGGAAAAGTCTTTGCAGGGATGGCCTGAGCACGGTATTTGCTAACCACTGGTGGGGCCAAGGTGAGTGTCACCAGTGCTAGAATTTGGGGAATCTTGCCTGCCCTCTCTGCCCTTCCTGCATACAGCAATATGAAGATGCTGGCAGCACCACACAACCCCAGAAGGGATCTGGCAAAGATACAGGCAATGGGAGGCAATGGTTATCTTTCGGTTGGCTACTTAAATGACTTTAAGTGATGCCAGAAGCATCAGTCTCAGGATGAAAATATAACTTACAAGTCTATTTTGGTATTGCCCCTGCCAGGTTCATCCAAAGTCACACAATCATCTTAAAGTATCCAGAGGCCATGGCACATTTTAATGGGTAAATTCACATGCTCAGGAAGCCAGACCTCACCTTTCACCTTAGCAAAGAAGAACACACTTCAAAAATCATGGGACTATTATCTTAGGAGCTGATGGAGTCAGATCACCAAGTGCTGCTAATGAGGAATGCTGCTCCCTTTAAAGGTTTCTGATATACAGCCCAGCACAAGAGAGGCTGCAAAGCTGAAGAACCAATTGAAACTAGCCTCTCTTTTAAAACATTTATTTAACATGAGTGTGCTGTGAACTAATTTTTTTCCATCAACATCTTTCAATAAAATACCAGAAGCTTTACTTTTATTTATATAAAACCCTCACTAAACCCAAAGATACATACATGCAAAACAGAGAATATACAGTTAGAAAAGGAAATGCTAAGCCTAAACTATACTCCTAATGCGCTGATCTAGGGAGAGGCCTTCGCATTTCACAGTTAAAATGTTCAATGCTGAGAAACTAAGGCTGCAGTGACTGGAATTAAGACAATGGTTCTGCATTACAAAAAGCTCAGAGCTGCACTGGCTTCAGATATTCCAAAAATTCCTCTCACAGGGGTGCTGCCCCATCCCTGCCACTAGCACAGCAGTTTGTGTGTCTGTGCTGGCAACTGGATCAAAGAACTCATTTGGCTTTAAAAAAGAAACTCCTACTAAAAATTTCAAAATACATGTGAAATGGTGGGCAGGGAAAGGAAGGAAGGGAGAAGTGGCCTTGGGATTATGCTACGCTGTTCTTCTTAATGGTTACCAGCAACACCCTGTTTCATGTTGCAGTATTATTTACAATTAAGTCAAGAGTTAAGTGGCTCAGCTGTCAGTGGAGTGTCAAGTCCTGCTGCTTTCTGTACAGACACCAGCAGGCTAACCTTCAGTTAATAACAAAGCTCTGCAGAGATGCTGGCTCTGTACACATCAGAGTACGTTACAGGCTGAAATGTAAGCATTGCTTTATGTGAGGCTCCTCTTCCAGCCAGAGCGGT